GAAGAGAGAAAATAATATGACGAAAGGGCTGCGGAAGAAAGAGGGAGAAAGAGAGGATGGGAAGATAGGCGTTCGGAGCGTGCCGAGGGAGTAACTAATTAAAATTAGTCTTCGCTTCACTGCTAGCTTTCGCTCTTTTTTGCCGGCAATTCCGGCAGCTCCGCCTGCTTAGCGCGAGCAATATCTCGTCTCGCGAGTTTAAAAATTCGCGAAAAATTCCTGTTCTATCCCTTGAGAACGTAGCCTCGCGGAAACTTCTCTCGATAACCTTCGCTACTCCTTCACACTCTTCGAAAATTTTCAGATTAAGAAGCGACGCAAAATTGAATTTGCAAAACAGAAAATTAATATACATTAAATTAAAAAAAAAAAAACATAATATTCAAGATCAAAAGTGAAATTTAATGAACGGACATTTAATTTGTATACAAAATTAATAAAGTTATTGCTGAAAACAATTTCTTTACCTTTTTTTGTTAAAAAATACGGAAATAAGAAACTATAATTTTTTGTATGTAAAAAGTTTACAATTCAGAAAACAATTATTCTTTTTCTTTTTCAAACAATCATATCTCTTTAAATCTGACTCCAAGGTCCCTCTCCATCCATTATAGCGACGAAACAGAAACGCGTTTATTATTAAAACGCGATATTCGTTCGCGAGGCCGGCTGCTAAAATTCCTGCCTGGTCGCCTCACCCCGGCGTGGAACGATCGATAGAATCCGCGAGCGTTTCGTCACGGGAGCGAGCTGAATCTGCAATTCGCGCGACGTCGATTCTTAACGGGAGCGACGTTGCTTTTTTTTTCTCCTTTTCCCTCCCTATCTTTCGCCGTCGCTTCCTGTCTCACGCGGTCGTGAAAACGGTATCGTAAATTATGGATGCGTTTTACTTCTCGAGCCAGGAATCTTTTGAATGGGCCACGCAGACACTCGTGCGATTTCTTTAAAGGCCGCGCGTCGCTCGCACGAGTTTATCTCTTCCCGAGTGAGATACAACGTCAGTTATGTATGCGCATTCTTTCTCGCGCGGTCTCCTCGCCGCAGCCACTAAATATAAAGGCGAATTCAATTTCTCAAGTAATGCGCGATTTCCACCGGAGAATTCCACGGGTGTTCGGGGCTAATTACGATCGCCGACGACGCCGCTGCCGACGCCGACGCCGACGCCGACGCCCTTCTCGGGTCAGCGGATATTTATGCCGCTATTAACGGGTGACTTTTGAAAAATCTCGGTCGAGCGAACGTGCGACTTCTCAGTGCCGCGTTCTTTGTTACGCTTAATGCGTTTGCGCGGAATTCCAGAAAGCGTCGCCCGAAATGTAGCTGCTTCGCATGTGGCAAATAGCGAACGCTTCGGATGGTTTTAGACTTGCAAAATATTGGAAATTTTAAATTGCAAGCTCGAAATTCTCTTAAATTATGCAAATTTTCTGCATATGTTTGCAAAATATTATTCAGTTTTTTAAAAATGTTACGGAATAAGATCGCGAGCGGCGTCATAAATACATAAAAGTTGATATCCCGCCGCCCTGTTCGCGTCGAATGCCAATCAGCCCGACGTTACCAAATCCTCCGATGCGCATGTCAATGAACGAACAATTGTACGAGAGAGAAAAAAAAGATATATCCTGATAATCCCGTTAAAATCGGTTCGATATCGCGCCGGGAATTCGTAGCGAGAGTGTTCGTCCGGAATTTAAACGGTACGGCTGCCACGTGGTTATTATGTCCATCTATTTCTCTTCTTTTTTTTTCATCCTCATCCTCTTCCGGCATGTTGCCCGTAAATTACAGACGACAAATCCGGGCGATTTTACCGGAGCGAGTGACTTGCGAAAGGGGAGGTGAGAGAGGAGAGGGTCGGTAAGTAGTAATTCATTCGGAAAAGCGCCGTCTTCGGTAAAAATTAAAGGGACCGTCGAGCGGTTTACCGCAGGGTAGCTCGAGAAAGAGGAGGCCACCTGCGTACAGAGTTATCACCTTGCCAGGATAAGACCTTACTCGCGATTCGTTCCCTCCTATAGCGACTACATTCTGCGGCTGTAACCACGTGGATTACCCAAATTAAACGGACCCTCTTTAATCCATTGCCGCGTGTCGCCGGGGAAACGACGAAGTAGCGATGTTCGTTAAAAGAAAAGCCGCCGGATCTATTTGGATGCAGATGGTCGCGGTCCTTGTGTCGATTGTTCGCATTAATTTCCGGGAAGAAAAATTCGCACTGGTTCGTTTCGCCTAATTCTAACAAGCTTCGACTTGCTTTGGTAAAAATTGACGAGAATCGACTACAGTTTAGAAAAACGAACATATCGTATAGAAATTATAGACATTGCAATTTTAATTTGTCGGTTTTCGTTTAATGTAAATACGATTTTTTGTTCTATTTTCGAATAAAAATAAATAACAAAATGGCTGGGGAAAAATATCGGCCCTGTCTAATCCAGCAAAATTTAATAAGCGCCACGTCTTCGCGCGTACATTACTGCGCAAATATAAACTAGGCCACAGGAGGGGTATGATAATGATAAATTTTCGGGCCGCGACGTTTTAAACTGCGAGCACTGAAAATGCAAAAAAGGGCTTTAAGACCGTAGCCGCTATCGTGCTATTAAAAAAGTTCTGTCGTTCGCCCGCTCGTAAAATGCACGCAGCCTAATCCCGAGTAATTTAAAGGTCGGACAAAAATTGGGGATAGAGCCGTGGCGACGTAGGTGGGAGGGGGGGGGGGGCAACGATGATATGCCCTGGGGGCCATGGCTAGGGGAAACGCTGGCGCTAATTCAACGCCATTATACGAAAGGGTTGCTCTCCAAAGCTCTCGCTCTCCAAATATTAGCGCTGGCATTAATAGAGACTTCTTGTAAATTAATAGCTATGATTTCTTATCCCGATTTGCGCGCGTAGAAATAAGAAGGCGGGAACACGTCGTCGAAATATCGATTCCGAATATCTATTAGTTCTCCATTGAAAAACGATGTTACTTTCCAGCGATTCCATCGCTTGACTCTGAGCGCGTGGAGCGGGAATAAGCACAGCGCTTTAAGATGCAAAGTGTATAATATATCTTTACAATAAATCTTCATGCATTATTTCGACGTCGCCCACGAAATTTCTTTCACGTCGACTTACGCGGCGGATCGCTGAAACGGCTACACCGAAGACGGTCTTTGATGCATCCTCCTTTGAATGCTTCCGCGCGTCTACCATCCCACGCAAGAGGTGAATTTTAAAGCGCGCGCTTCGACGTAATATGGGCAAGCTTTGAGCATACGCAAACAAGAGATCTATCGCATGATGCAGCAGTTCCGTCGTTTTTAACTCGGCGCCTTGAGGGAAAAATTTCGCTCGGTGGCATTAACGGCGCTTACGCTGCCGGTTATTTTCCCTCTCTCTCTTTCTCTCCCTCCGCGTTCTTATTTTAGGAAAATAACCGAGCCGGCGCGAGATCCACGAGCCTCCCAAACGTACGTCTTCCTCGTGAGCTACTTCTCTTTACGCGCATACATCAGGCGGCCGACGGCCTGATGAAGGACGCAAAATGAAACGAGTGCAGCTTTATGGAGTGTTGTTCCGCACGCCTCTCTGCTCTTTTTTAATCAACCGAGAGAGACTCTCGTCGACAGGGACGGCCTCGTAATCGTGGATAAATAAGGATTCGCGCACCCGAGCTCCGCCGTTCTTTACGATTTTTTTCTCTCAGCAAATTTGGCTATTTGCTCAAAATATTTAGCTGTGCTACATTTTCGTAACACCTACAATGAGCTGACATAACATGCAGTTCATACAAATTGATGTACAGCAAATTTTTCCAGAGTGGCATTTTATATCGTTTTAAAATTTTCCTGACGCAACCATCGAGTTAATTAACAAATTCTTTAGAAAAAAATGTATAAATAAAGTTTCTTATTACATCGTCTATAATTAAGCATTAAATATTTGACTGCTATAATGTCAGACCGTATAATGAGTTCGGTGTAATTAAATTCCCTGTTGACGCGCTGGAAGAAGACATCGAAGTAAAATTGGATGTTAACGTAACGTGTTGGTCTTTTTTTCCCGTGCAGCTACAACGCGATCGCCAACTCGTAATTAGCGCGGGAGCGTTTGAACGAGACGAGGTAGTTAACGGGGACGTTAACGAAGGAGCGATAGTTCCCTCGACATTCTTTAAGTCGCCGTACAGAGGCAAATCGTTTGTCACCTAGTTCCGGTGCGACCACCGACTTAGATCCTCCTTGAAATTTTCTCCACGTCCGCGTCATTAATTATCAGCGTCCTGTCATGGTAGCCTACTTGCATCAAATTAATCAGGGGGCCAAATAACGAAGTCAGAATTAATGCGGCAGTTAATTTTCAACACTGCTTTCTTCCCGCTTCGCATTTAAGTCGGATCCGATATATATATATATATATATATATAGATCCGATCGATCGCGTATTTAATTACGTTTTATTACGTCATACGGAAGTTCGGAGGATCGCCTCTCGTTAAAGTAATCGATGTGAAGTGCGCGCCTGATACCGACTCGGCGGCTCGACCGTTCGCACCTGGTAATTGAGTGCGTTCATGCCGTAATAGCTGCATTTGCATATTATCGCCACCGTCGTCAGTTCCGACACGTGTACACGCCGTGATCGGCGCGCCGCGCGTGTATCGCAATTCTACAAATTTCAATTATACTTCGGAAAACTTTGACACGCGATATTGTTATTTTCCCATTAGCGGCAACGTTATTAATTAAAGAGTGGCGCGTAATGAATTTATTATTCTCAATATATTTACATCGAGATTTTCAGGTAAAGTAAGTTCGCGCTAATTGTTAAACGATAAAAGTGATAGCATTCTCTGATTATTTCGAAAAAATAAAACATGTAAAAAAATAAATTTAATCTCAACATAATGCTGTTCGAACTTTACGTTCAACTTTGCATTCAAACTTTGCGTTCGCATTTGGAATCGGATTTATCGCATGCATTGATTTATTCAGTTCACTTACCTTGTATTCTCCAGCGGCTCGTCGTACAAAGTAGCAGTGGTACATTGCAGCTTTCTCCCTTCGTCGTGATGTACAAAGTGATGCTGCACGATGAAACGCGTTCCAGTAGATCATCTTGGGATCGACTTGGCTGCCGCGCGACGGCATGCAGCGCGCCGCGGTCGGCGCTGCCTGTTGTCTTCCTGAAATATTTATGACGCTAACTGTAAGGTTGTCTTGCGATAAAGTTGAGTCGACGTGGTAATTTGCACGGAAGCCCGCGGTGCTTCCTTACGGACAATTAGCCGTCGCGCCGCGGGCTCTTTATTCCCTGATGCGAAAGGGCAGGGACGAGCGAGCGCGGAAAATACTCCTTCGGATGCTAGAGCGAGCGTAATGCAGCACGTAACGCAGCTATCTATATTTTAATCAGTCATAATTAAATGAATATTTCATCCGGCGCTCGTCGGGCTCGGGCGAAGAAAAGGAGAGAGAAAGAGAGAGAGAGAGAGAGAGAAAACGGGAGACGCTGCCGCGGAGCTTTTCGGCCCTAACAGGCGTCAGCCTCCGGGAAAGGGTTCCATGCAAATTCGTGCCAGATTGGGAGCAAGGGTGGCGAGGGTGGATCCCGGACGACCATGGAGGGTGCCTGACGCCATCAGAGTAAGATGTTAGACGCGCGCGCACGCGAGGAAGTCGTGGAGATGACTAAAGAGCATTGAGAGCGAAGGCGGAGTTGGAAGGTGGGAGGGTGGAGAGATGGTTTTAAGAGAGAGGATTACAAGAGGAGATTTTACAGAGGAGAGAGACACAGTGTGAGGTACGAAAAATTTAACGCGGGATGAGAGATAGGCCGCGAAATCTGTAGAAACTCCGACGGGCGCCGGGCGAGCTTTCCGCGAGGGAATTTGAATAAAGGCGTGATTTGTTTATAAATCAGAATCGGAAATGAGTCCGTGAGAGTGCATATTAAAATGCAACGGGCTGGCCCCCTCGAACTCGAACGCTCAGCGCGAGAGGAGACGAACGAGAGACTTTCGAGTGACGCCTCGTAAACGAGATAAAGCAGAGTCGCAAGTCTCTTCAGCGCCTACCTCCTTTTTTTCCTCTCCTCCCCCCCTCCGCCGATTCTCCGTAGCAATGAATCGGATTAAGTGACCTCGTAGTTGAAACTTACTCAGCAACAGGCACGAATCTGCTGCTGATAATAGCGGAGATATAATTATAGTATCCACTTGTAATATTCTTGTACATAAGGGTATGTAAAAGCTTCCATTGCTCATGTATAAATAGATTGCTCCAAAAATAGAGACCACTGCTTTTATCGCGGTACCCATCTTTTACCTAAAATGTAGCCGAAAATATTTTCACTAAAAATATTGTACCATTTAGAAGATATTACTAAAAAAAATTGTCTTAAAAACGATGGATATTTTTGCATGTTCCTAATATTATAGCAATTGTAATATTTTCTCTTCTTCAACTTTTGCTAAATTTATATATATGTACATATATATTAGTTTTCTTACCGATAAAAACAATGTTTTACACCTATCGAAGTTTTGTGATGTTTAAACTAAAATTAACTTAAAAATCCGAGATATATATAGTTCTCTTAAGCTTGATAATAAGATTTTAGATAGATTTGTCAAAACATTTCCATTTTTAACCGCTCGTAACTCGTAAAGTTATTGTCTTGAGAAAATCGCCGTTCTTCAGCAGGCGAGATCAAGCGTGATAATTCCGAGACTAACCCCGTATAAATCATCGCACGGCCACTTATAAAAAGCAACGAGTGGAACCACCGGTTTACCTTGCGAACGGCCACGAAGCGCGCAACACGATGAATTCTAACGAGGCGAGAGCGGGCCTGGAAGACCGGGCCAGAGGAAGGGGGGGGGGGGGCGAGGGGCAAGGGATGATCCGTGCATTTTTCAGTGTGTCCGCACTAAAAATATAACGGGACACTGTCGGTGTGTAACTTCTAAGGTCGCGGGTTCGATCCCCTCCGGCGGAATACACACCGCTATTTCTAGAATCGCCGCGGTGCACGCGTGGTTATGCATGTCGCGCGTATACGCGCGGCGTACGTGAGATCTCTTCTTCGCGCGTATTCGCGGAGCGTACGTTCAACCGTGACGTTCACAACCGAGGCGTGTGTCAACTTTCGTGATCGCGCCGAATTTTGTGGGTTCTTTAAAGCCGCGTTACAAATCGTCAGAATGCAGAAATAAATCTACGGCATTTAGAGATATATTTTCTTAATCAACCCTTGCATTTTTTCATGCATTCTCGTAAATTTTAGCGACAACTTTAATTACCGAACAAAGCAGCGTTATGAATCAGGATGCAAAAATACAGATTGGAAATGTTAGACGGGTATATCGTCCACATAAATTCATTAAGAATTACGAAGACTCGTAAAGATTTTCACAGCTGCGTTAACGACTTCCACTGAATTTTACAGAATGGCGTTATACATTGACGGGATCTAGAAGTTCAAAGAATGACACTGTGATATCTCGCACGCGTTTAACGCGTCGCTATAATGTGGGAAGTACGTTCAACCGAAGCATGTGCATTGAGCTATCTTTACTCATATGTTACAATAAAAAAGAGGACCATGACCTTCGCGTGTTCAGAAATTCTTGCGCTCGGATCGATAACTTCTGAATCGTACAATGTGACGCTCTAGGCTGACGATATCCAGAAATAAGTCGGAAGTATGATACAGATATTCCCTACACTCGCACTTAATAATATGCTTTATCTTCTTTACGGATGATATTATGTCCAACGGTACCGCTGGCCAGTCACTCACGCGTATACACCGCGATATACACTGTCTTTATTTATTTACGTAAACTTTTGCGATCGATAATTTCACTTGAGACCGGCGCGGCAAGAAACGCAAGGGTTCATCGCTCAGAGTTAAAAGGAGCCGTGCGTGAGCTACTTAATGCAAGTATTAAAATTAAATCTGACTTTTGTGCCATCTCACGTTGTACATAGAGGCGTAGTCGTTTCTCAATAGAGAGAGAGAGAGAGAAAGGGAAAAACTGGACTGGTCTTTATGTTCAAAGATAATCCATCAACCACGTAAAGCGAGGACGGTTTTAAACGTCCTCATAGATTCTGTCTCCTAATCCACACCGGTCTTCGCGAGACGTTAAACGTTTATAGGGAAGTTTGAAATTACAATCGCTCTGCGTGGGTTTCACCCTGAAGCATTTAAGGGCGTGCCCTTGATTGGCACGGAGGCTGTTAAGGGGGTTAGCAGGCCACAGCGTACACGCGCCGCTAGCTTGGATAGAAAAGAGCGGGAAGGGTTGGCGAGCGTGAAATGAAGCGCGATCGTAAAACCCGTTGCGACGACGTTATATTACGTTTATATTGTAACTTCGAAATGCCGCGCGCGCGGTGCTTCGGGGTATTGATCGACGAATGCGGAATCGCGAGCACGCGTCCCTCCTTCGCGCTTGGCAGCCTAATACACTCAAAATTATATAACCCACGCACACATTAAATTCTGCAAGGGGCGACCTTCGAAATACCGACGGTATTTCAGCTGCGGCATCGCGATATTTTTTAGTAAACATTTTCGATTCTACATCGTTAACTCCTACATTGTATCTTCAATAAATAAACATAAGTAAGTAACATCTAAATCGCAGGATAAACATCGTTAGTATCGTGATATGCTATAATATGTACGAGAGTCGGTATGAAAGTAGAGCCTCCAATTTTCTTTCCCAGAAAATTCACTTCCTACAATTATGATTTATACACTGAAGCAATCCTTTGTCATGAACAAACATTTATTTTTTCACAAAGTCACCATCATTTTCTATGTATTTTTGCCATCTTTGAATCAGACGCTGTATTCTAAACTGGAATGGACAATTCTTCCTCAGTCCTCTTATAGTCTGAATTTGACCCTCAGATTATTACTGAAGGATAATTACTGAAGGATACACGTGAATGTCATTTTGCCAGGATACACGTAAATACCAGACGGCGACGCGCTTAAAAAAATGTTTGTGAAGTCTTCGATCGTCGCAGCAAAAAATTTTACAAGTCTGGAATAGTGTTTGATTCAAAGATGGCAAAAGTACATTGAAAATAATGATGGCTTTGTGAAAAAATAACTGTCTGTTAATGACTGAAGATGACTTCAGTGTAAAAACCATGGTTGCAGGAATTAAATTTTTTGAGAAAAAAATTGGAGGCATTACTTTCGTACCGACCGTCGTACATTTAAGGACTACAAGGATCATAAGCTAATATTTTCCAGCCGCTAATAACGCTTTAAAAAAAAAAAATTTAAAGTTTCTTAATCATTTTGTCAAATTTTTAAAATTTTATATCTTTAAATGAATTTGTGGTCGATTCTACACACTATCGATCTAAGATTGTGCAAATTAAAAACACAAAGATAGAGAAACACATTGTTTGTCTTAACTTGAGAAACAACTATCCACTTCAGATTTCTTTTTCTTTTCCCCGGTAAAGTGTACGTTGGAGCACTGTGACGTCTAGAAATATTTACCTTCTATCTTATGCCTCGGAGATTTACGAGGTCGAAGCTTTTTTTTATTCCCTCTTCACGTACGACTTGCCTCGTTAATTCAATTATGCTTTTCCCCGATCGTACGATCCCGCTTTACGATTCGTCAGAAAGTCGTACGATGCGCCGCGGTTGGCTCGATTCGGAATCGGGGAAAACGCTTCTATAAATCGTAAATTGAGGGAATGAGAACCACGATAAAGTCGTCGATCGATTGCAGCTTCTTACGGAGACATCCTCCGTTAAGAGCCTTTCTAAGCATTTTGTGAAAAGGCAGGGCTTTATTTTAAAGCATATGAATGAAAAGATGTAGTCTTCCCTCCATTAATAATAAAAATTGTGAAAAATTTATTATCGGTTTTCCTTTTTATCAGTTATCAAAACATTTAAATTTTCAACAATATTTGAAAAATTTATCAACAGCACCCTATAAATTTGGCGCTTGTTTTATTATACTTTACCGGAAAGCTCTTTACTTAGTCAAGCGTATTTTTTTAATAAATGGAGAATTACTTTTCCGCGTCCGTGTAGTTATTAATGCACTTTATCGGGCTGAAAGTGGCGAGGCAAGACGAAAGCAGATTTTCATAAACTCCGTCGTTAAATGGTGAAGCAAGCGTGCGGGATCGTGTCTAT